AAAGTTATTTTTTTCTTTCTGTTTTCGAATTTTCTGTCTTTGACTTTTAACAGTTTGATAGACAATAAAATATCTCAGAGTAATCTTCTTTGGGTTGATCTGACTTGGGGTCCTTTGTGCTTCATGTACCAGATGTTTCTATTTTTACCAAAATTTGGGACATTTTCAACTATTGTTTTTTTTTTTTTTTTAAAGATTTTATTTATTTGTCAGAGAGAGAGGGAGAGAGAGCGAGCACAGGCAGACAGAATGGCAGGCAGAGGCAGAGGGAGAAGCAGGCTCCCCGCCAAGCAAGGAGCCCGATGTGGGACTCGATCCCAGGACACCGGGACCATGACCTGAGCCGAAGGCAGCTGCTTAACCAACTGAGCCACCCAGGCGTCCCCAACTATTGTTTCTTTAAATAAGTTTTCTGCCTCTTTGTCTCTCTTCCTCCTCTGAGATTTCCATGCTATGTATATTTGTCCTTTTGACAGTGTCCAGAAGTGACAGAGGCTTTGTTCACTCTTTGTCGTTCATTTTTCTTTTTGTTCCTTGAACTGGCTAACTTCAAATGACCTCTCCTCAAGTTCACGGATTATTTCTTCTGCATGATCAAGTCTACTGTTGAAGCTTTGTATTGAATTTTTCAGTTCTACCATGGAATTATTCATCTCCAGAATTTCTCTTTAGTTCTTTTTTATGGTTTCTATTTGTTAAAATTACCATTTTGTCCCTGCATTGTTTCCCTGACTTCATTTATTTGTGTTCTCATGCTTTTCACTGAGTTTAAGAAGATTATTTTGATTTCTGAGGCAGTTCGCAGACCTCTGTATCTTTGGAGTCATTTAGTGGAACTTGAGGAGTTTCCTTTGATGGTGTCATGTTTGTCTGATCCTGATTCTCTGTGATCTATATAGTCTTGGATTGGTGTTCATGCATTTGAAGGAGTAAACACCTTTTCTAGTCTTTACAGACCAATTTTGGCAAGTAAAAACCTTCTTCTGTCAGTTCCCCAGGCTGATGAGTTACTTCCAAAATCTAAGATGATCAGGGATGGAGTTAGGTCATGTGGCTGTGGTTACATCCACAGTGGGGTCCACACTTTGTAGGCCTGTTACCAGGGGCTCGGATAGGTGTGGATCTGGTCTGCTCTCTGGGTGGACAGGACTGACTGCAGAACCTTGTTCAGTAGGGCTGGCACCGGGACAAGGGTTGGAGTAGAACAGGCCTGTTACCAGATGCAAGAATGAGTGTGGCTCCCCCCGGATTTCTGGGAGGGCTCCTGCTGGGTCGCTGGGTGGGTCCCTGGGCAGGCAGGATGGGCCCTGGACTGCGGCTGAGAGGGACAGGAATGGAGTCCCCAGGCTGTTCAGGATCCATAGCCAGGACCAGTATCTACAGACCTGGTTCTGGAGGGATGGATGAGTGTGTCCCCCACCAGGATTGCTCCCTGACCATGGCGGGAATGGCCTGGAGGCAAGTTAGAAGTTTCAGGATCTGAAGTCAGACCAGGGTGGTAGGCTTATCTCCAGTCACATTGACAGGTGTGTCTCCCAGCTGGTCTCTGGACTAGCAGGACTGCTCATGGACCGTAGCCAGGAGGGGCTGGAGTCCAGTTAAAGGCCATTGCAGGATCTACAGACAGACCGAGTTTGGTGAGCTTGCCTCCAGGGACTTTTGGACTGTGGCTGAGAGGGACTGGCACTCAGAACTAAGGTCTAAAGGCCTGTTATCTGAGACACAGGCAGAAGTGACTCCTGGGTCCCTTGGTGTATGGTGCTGTAGCCAAGTCCACAGGGGCAGAACTGTTTCTCGGTCTGTTATCAGGACCACAGGTGGTGAGTCTGCCATCTGGGCATGGACGTGCCTTCTCAGAATGGACTTTGTCAGTCTTGGACTCCACTGGGGTTTCACAGTTCTCTACCTTTGGATCCCAAGGCTCCCGCAAAGGCACTTTCATCTGTGGATTACTGTTGCTGAGAGGAGATACAAGCAGGCCACCTCCTATTTCACTGTCCTGCTGATGCCTTTCAGTTGATTCTCCTGATTCATCTAGATCACCTATGTGTCCTTTACAAATGATGACCATTTCACTTCCTTATTTTTTGCTTATTTCATTTTCTTGCCTGGTTGCATTAACTAGAAAGTCCAAATATGTTTTTTAAAATAGTGGTGAAAGTGTGCATTTTCTGTTACTAACTTAATAAGGCAGTTGTGAAAATGGTTTCTTGTACTCTTTTTGTTAGGATTTATTGCTGATGGGAACTCCTTTCTTCTGGGCAATGTTCTGCTTCGTCAGATTCGCATTCCTAGTGCCGTACTCCTTCCAACTGGAGTGTCTCCCCAAGAACAAGCGAAGCCATCTCCCCAAGATCAGGAGGATACAGAGAACTATGGAGTAAACTGGGGCCCACCTGATACAAACGTCACAAAATCAGAGAGCATTTGGCATTATCAGAATCAAGAGATAGCGGGGGGCTGTCCTGTCCAAGGGGAATTTGCCACTTACTCAGGAGGAGGGTATGTTGTGAGACTTGAAAGAAGCTCCCGTACTGCTATCAGGTGAGGAAGCCTAAGCCCTGGACAGGAGAACCAGGACACGTCCCTTCTTAGGACAGTTACTGCTGCCATAATGGTGCTCAGTTGTCTGTGACACTTGTAGACACTTCTTTTCTTTCTTTTTTTTTTTTTTAAGAGAAATCTGACCCCCCCGCCCCAAGATTTTATTTATTTATTTATTTGTCAGAGAGACAGTGCAAGCACAAGCAATGGGAGAGGCAGGCAGAGAGAGAAAGGAGCCCAGCGTGGGACTCGATCCCAGGACCCTGGGATAATGACCTGAGCCAAAGGCAGACGTTTAACTGACTGAGCCACCCGGGCGTCCCCCTTGTGGACACTTCTTAGACTTTTAAGGAAATGTAACTTTTAGTTTAAAAATTCTTTATTCAACCTCAAACTACAGATATGTTTTGGTTTGGCAATTTGCCCAAACTCATTTTTTTTTTTTTTTGTCATCTGGGAAAACACCTTCCAATCTCAATTCTGGTATCCCTAGTTTAGGCAAACTATAATCTTCAAATTTAAGAGGAAGCATTGCCTTTCATGAGCCATAATCAATGCAAATATTCACAGTCAAATTTCCAGAGACTTTAGAGTGTTTTTGTATGTGTATGTGATAAGAATTTTTATTATATATGCAAAGGCTTAAATTACCTCTTTGTTTAAGTTTACAGCAAGAATTTACTCAAAAACACGGGAAGTCTGCTTCTCCCTCTCCCTCGGCAGCAACCCCGGCTTGTGCTTTCTCGCACTCTCAAATCAGTAAAATCTTAAAAAATAAAGAGAAGCATTTAACATTTAGAAGTCGTAGAGTAATAGCGGTAGCTGACATAAAATAATTCTACCCTAGGTGTTAAACACCAAATCCGTTCTCTTGAACATTTAAACCTGATGTGAATGCTCTTATGAAAACTTTCATCTTTATAGACCTCTCAATTTCTATCTGTGTGAACTAATACTAGTGAAAGTTTGGGGATTAGTAATAGTTCTCTGTAGGCAAACGATATTTGGGAATGTAGCTTTGCAACTGGTACGTGATATTGGAAATGCCAGGCCATTTTTCTCCTTTGCGGGATTGAATGGAGAAAGAAGCTGACCCTGTCGTTCTGTTTTCCCAGAGTTCTGCAGCATCTTGAACAGAGCCACTGGCTTGACCATTGCACCAAAAGCCTCTTTGTGGAATTTGTGGTCTTCAATGCTAACGTGAACCTATTCTGTGTAGTGACTCTGATTTTGGAGTCCAACAATGCAGGTACAGAGGTCTCTTCTGTCCTGACCTGGGTATCTCAGGAGAAAGCTCAGTTTCTTTATTTTGTACCATTAAAAGACAGTATTTTAGTTAAAGTTATTATACATAATTTTAAAAGTCAAGTAATTCAAGGCAAAAATGAGCAGTCCTTTCTTCCTCCTCACCTCATTCCTCTTTCCCAGAGAAGGCTACCATCTGCTTTTTTTTAACTGGTTCTTTGGAAAAAAAGGTTTTTTAAAGATTTCATTTATTTATTTGACAGAGAGAGACACAGCGAGAGAGGGAACACAAGCAGGGGGAGTGGGAAAGAGAGAAGCAGGCTTCCTGCTGAGCAGGGAGCCGGATGCGGGGCTTGATTCCAGGATCGTGGGATCATGATCTGAGCCAAAGGCAGATGCCTAACTGACTGAGTCACCCAGGCACCCCGGTTCTTTGAAATTTAACAACTAACATGCTTATTACTTATTTCATGCATTTTCAGTTTTAGGTACTATTTCTTCCTATGATGCTGAGCATTTAACTTTCTTATACTCATACACAACACACACACACACACACACACTTTTCTCTTTCCATGTTCTCCAAATACAGTAATAATTTATGGTCAGTTTAATATTTATTTCCATTATTGTGATTATCTAAATGATTTCTCAAAGATGAGCCATGTAATTATATTATAGTTTATTTTCTTCTACAACATTTTCCTTAGAGTTTATAATTATTTCTTTTTTTTATTCCATTTGGTTGGTTTTGCATGAATCTATGATTGATTCACCTCCAAACTCCTCCTGAAGTAAAAATCTCTTTCTGTTCAAAAAGTATCAAGCAACCTATTATTTTATCTTTTCAAAGATAAAAGGGCCTCTCTGGGGCCCTCCACCCTTTCGGTACAGTTCAGATTGGTTATTCTCTGGGTCTGCCGTGCAACGCTCATCCTGGATTCTCCCTACAGTATCATTCTGGGGATGATCTTGACCTCTCCCCTCTGTTGGATCTTCTTTCTCCTGGATCCCATGTTTTCCTCTCTGGGTTTACTTCCTCATTTTGCTGGAGCATATCCTCTGGGAAATTACTGCAAGGGTGCAAAAGAAGTAAATTTTTTGAAGACTTCCAGGTCCAAAACTATTCTTACTCTGCCATCACACGAGATTGCTCATTATTCTGGATACAGTTGTTTTTACGGAATTTTGAAAAGTATAGCTCCATTGCCTTCTAGCTTCTCATGTTGTTAAGAAGTATGATGATGGGGACATCTGGGTGGCTCAATGGGTTAAAGGTCTGCCTTTGGCTCAGGTCACGATCTTGGGGTCCTGGGATCAAGCCCTGCTGGGGAGCCTGCTTCTCCTCTTTCATCTACCTGCCACTCTGCCTGCTTGTGCTCTCTTTTTCAAATAAATAAATTTTTTAAAAATGTATGATGCCCCCAATTCCCAAAAGTTTTTAGAATTTTCTTTCTCTTCCTGGTGAGTCCTTTAACCTGGAAATGTGTCCTTAGGTTCTGAGAAATTTTCTCACAGATTTCTATCAATTTTTTCTTTGTTTTCTTTGTTCTCTTTTTCTAGTATTCCTGGCATTTTGACATTGGGATGCCTAGACTGATCCTTTTCTTTTTTCTTTTTTTTTTTTTTTTTTTTTTTTTTTTTTTGCTTTTCCATCTTTTTCTTCTAGTTTCTGGGAGATAAATTTAACAAGTGGTTTGGAAGTTGAAGTATTCATCTTGATAATTTAATTTTCAAGAATTGTGTTTGTCCTCAATATTTTTTTCATAGTGTCCTGTTCTTTTATGGACATGGTATCCTCTCAACTCTCTGAGGATGTTACAGGCTTTGTTGTTTTTTTTCTGCTCTTTCACTTTCTCTAATGCCTCTGAACTTCTTTTTTTGTTTTGGTTTCCAGTTGTCAGTGTTGAGGTTCAATATGTGGCTGTTTTATCATATTGAAGACAGAGATAGTAAAAAGCAAGTAAATGCTAGTTAGAAGCTCTCTGTTCATAGAAAAAGCTTGTCAGCTGTTTCTAATGTCTTTCTGGCAGTTTCACATACAAGGACCCTCCAAACCCCTGCTTTGAGGATGTCAGCCTTGTGGACTTGTCTGAGACTGTTGAGAAAAGGGACTGGGAGGCATCGCCATGCAGTATAAACTTTCTCTTAAAGGTGCCTGGGTGGCTCAGTTGGTTAAGTGTCTGACTCTTGATTTCAGCTCAGGTCATAATCTCAGGGTCAAAGATAGATCCCCAAGTTGGCCTTTGCACTGAGCTTGGAGCCTGCTTAGGATTCTCTCTCTCCCTCTGCCCCTCCTCTGTTCATGAGCACACTTTGTCTCTCTCTTCGCTCTCAAAATAAAATTAAAAACTTTCTCTTAATTCTTTCCCAATAGACCACTACTTGCAAATAGACCTATTGTCCCTGATTTGGGATTCTCTCTAGTTCAACAATAGGAAATAAACCTTTAGTTTTAGTGGTGGAAGGCACGATGAGTAGCAAATACCTAGTTGTGAATGGTGAGGGAGGAAGTCTGGGATCTAACTGCTTATGTTCAGACTTGGGATGAATTCTATTTCCAGTTTCATCTGACCTTACCTTCAGGAGTATCTAATGCCAGCAATTTTCCAGCCTTTCTGGGCTTGCTTCTGGGTTTTCTACACAGCTGACTTTGCCTTTCCCTTTCTTGAATCTGTTATCGGTGTCATTCTTCTGTTTACTGGCTTCCAAGAGTTTGTTGCCATCATCTACGCTCCTTTTCCTTCAGGTTTTTTTTTTAATCCTGTCACTATCATTATAGTGGCATTTTATGAGATTAGAGAGACACTCATGTATTCAGTTCTCCTACCTCTAACAGGAAGTCTGCCCTGAACAAACTTCCTCTTTATTCTGTTCCCAGAATCTGCCCACTAGTATCCTTCCATTTACCACCAGGTGTTACTTTTTTTTTAAAAGATTTTATTTATTTATTTATTGGACAGAGAGAGAGAGAGATCACAAGTAGGCAGAGAGGAGGAAGCAGGTTCCCCACTGAGCAGTGAGCCCAGTGTGGGACTCGATCCCAGGACCTTGAGATCATGACCTGAGCAGAAGCTTTAACCCACTGAGCCACCCAGGTGCCCCCAGGTGTCACTTCTGATCAGGAGTTTTATACTTAGACTTCTACACTTGTTCTAAATGAAGTGTGAAGGCTTCCTATGGGTCTTCATAGGGTTTTTTATTGTTAGGAAGTACCAAGCCCCTCCCCCAACACACACACCAACTCCAAATAGGGCTGAAGTAAACATGGGAAAGTCCCAGTCTTAAGATAGAACAATATGAAGTAGGAATTCCTTTTATTCTTAAATGTACTTTATACTACAAGGGGTACATCTTAATTCTAGTATTTTGGGGCTTTATGAAAGTTTAAATTCACAAGACCTTTCATGATTTTAGAAGCAACCACCTCACTGTCCTTCTAGGTAGAATCTGAGGCTTTTTAGTCTATCCTTCTCTAAATGTGTGAGTGTTCCCAGGATACTGTGAGTATTCATCGGGTATTAGGGCTTTACATAAATTTACTTTTAGAAAGTAACTACATTTGAAATGGCTCAAAGCACTATCATACTAATTTCTCAAAATGTATTTTAAATAGCTTTAAATTCCATCCTCCCCACACTTCACATTGCAGTCGTCCGCTCTCTACCAAACCTTATATGGAGAGGGGGTACAAAGAGTCCGTGCATCTCTGCACCTGTTCTCGCTCGACCAGAGCAACACCTGTTAACAGCTGTGAAGTCACAGACTGTGCCCTCAAGGTGGGATCACGAGTATATCTTCCCCTTCTACTGACTGGTGCAAACAGTGCATTTCTCCAGTAGTTATGCATGTGTGATCTGAGTTAATATCCCTGACAGATCTAGAGGAAATACCAAGCGAAGTGTAGAGGTTCGAGAACATTTGGAATAGATAATCCGGTGGGGCACCTGGGTGACTCAGTTGGTTAACTGTGTGGCTCTTGGTTTGGGCTCAGGTCATGATCTCAGGGTTGGGAGATTGTGCCTCACATCAGGCTCCAGGCTCAGCAGATTCTGCTTGGGATTATCTCCCTCTCCCTCTGCCCACCCCCGCACCTCTCTCAAAATCTAAAGGAAAAAAAAAAAAAAAAGATAATCCAGCAATAGTTGCACTGATTTTAAAGGGTTTGAAAGGAAGAGGGCGTAAGTTTTGAAGACTCCTGACTCTAGGTGTTCTTTGTTGTTTTCAGGTGCGTTCTTCCCCTCACTGAGGCTGGACACTTTAACTTCCCTTCAGGCATCAAAGAAGGACTTTGCCTGGTCTTTCATCTCGCAAGTTATCTATTACCTACTAGTCTGTTACTATGCCTTTGTACAGGTGAGAAATTCTCAAGGTTTCCAGTGTTATCAAGGGAGCACCACAATGAGTTATTACAAGAATTATGGCTATGACTTTGGTCCCTTCCAGAGCCTGAATTCAGCTAAAGGCTGACTGGCTTTCCACGAAGTAGCTTTTTAAGTTTTCAAGAGTGAAGGAATTAACTCTGTAAAAAGAATATTATTTTTGGGGCGCCTGGTTGGCCCAGTGGGTTAAGCCTCTGCCTTCGGCTCAGGGCATGATCTCAGGATCCTGGGATCGAGCCCATCGGGTTCTCTGCTCAGCCAGGAGCCTGCTTCCTCCTCTCTCCCCCTCTCTGCCTACTTGTGATCTCTATCAAATAAATAAAATCTTAAAAAAAAGAATATTATTTTTTGTACGTTGTATTATCCCTCTATAAGCTAACAGCAAGAATTGAAAATCTGATGAACAGAGCAAGTACTCAAAAGTACAAGTAGTGGACTTGAATCCATCTTAAGACAGAATCCATCTTAGACAACACATCTTACTTTCAGGCTTGATAACTAATTTGAAAACCATTTTAAATTTAAGCAACAGGAATGAAATAATGTGTATCCAATGCAGGTTAGAGAAAGCCAGCTTTTCTATAAGCAGCAGCTCTGAGTGACTACAGAGCAGCACCAAGACCGTAACCCATCGTGTTCAAGTTGGATCTGACAAGGGCCCAGCTTAGTGTCTTGCCAGGGTTAAAATGCTTCATTAGGGAAAGACCTGGCTAATCCTCAAGGCAGGCAATAGTGACTGTGTGTCTCCTTTTAGGGTCATCGGCTGAAACAACAGAGGTGGAGGTTCTTCTCTAGGAAAAGAAACATTCTGGACGTGAGCATAATCCTCATTAGCTTTGTCCTCCTGGGTCTTTACATGAAGCGTACTTCTCTGCATAAGAAAAACATGGCGCAATACCACTATGACCGGGACAGGTAAGACAGAGCCTGAGGAGCACAGGCTGTTCCTGTTCAATGTCTAAAGTTTCCCGATTGCACACAAGTTTCTTTCAGACTCCCCTTCCTCTTCCGCTGCTCTATCAGACCTATGTTTGTATAATACCAGAGTTAAATACAGAACTCAGACCAATGTCCACAGCTGAGAAAACAACAAGTAACCGTATACTGCTCATCACATTGGAAAGCTCTCTGCCTTCATAATACTTAGGTAAGTGTTTGTCAAAGGTAATGCATTTAAATTCCATATAGCAAGGACCTAGAATTAGTCACATTTTGCACCCTGGCCAAAGAATAAAGCCTGAGGCATGACAAATGATCACCCTTTAAATAAAACAACCCAGTGCATTTTTTTTTTTTTTAAACCAAAGGGGGTTGTTTTCTGGGTAGAGATGTCCATCCATTAGCTTATCCATGCTGAAGAGATGTTCTGGTGCCCCTTTGGACACCTTCTGTGGTCTTTCCCATGGGGAAAAGCATCTATTTCCCAGACCACATATTGCCACGTGGTGCTTTACTTTTTTAGTGGCCAACAGTGTGGACTGCTGATCTGTGTAATGAGAAAATATCCCAGGTCATCCTTAGAGGGCCATTTTTGCAGGGACAGAATTTATATGGTGTTGACAGTTGAGGTCCATCTTGCCGCATGGCACTGTCTAGGTCTTAGACACTAAAAATAGTTGTGATCAAGAGCCAACTTGCTCTATCTATGGGAGTCTTTCCAAGTAACCTAGTTGCTGCAACACGAGATTATGAATATGTTTCTCACACAACACTCCTCCCTTCTAGTTTATCAGTCATCTCTTTCTTTTAAGATTTTGTCAAGCATAAGCACGGGAGTGGCAGGCAGAAGCAGGCTCCCTGTTGAGCAAGGAGCATGATGTGGAACTCCAGCCCAGGACTCTGGGATCATGACCTGAGCTGCAGGCAGACAGAAGCTTAACCGACTCAGCCACTGGGGTGTCCTTATCAATCATCTTTCTACTTTCAGCACTGTTAAACCTATTAGATCAATCACCCCCCAGAGAATACAGGATTAGAGTGCTACAGAAAACAGAGTAGCATAATGACACATCTCATTAGGCTAACTCCTCTCCTTTTGAGAGGAGGGGTTTAACTCAAACCACAGCAGTGGAGGAGGCTGGCCTGGATTGGCGGCAGGAGTCTGGAATAATCTGCTAGAGGTTTTATTTCAGGATTTCTTCAGCTCTCCCAAGCAAATACATGGCCCTTTGCCAGTGCTCTCACATCCACAAGTACTGGAGGCCACGCTGGAGAGTTCTTGCATCAAGTATTTGACCTAATAGGACTGTCAGAGCTGCTGCACTCGAGCAGGGGAAGCAGTGGAGAAACGGATGGCATGCACTGCAGCGGTTAACTGTCACCCTTCCTTGGCACAGGTTCATCAGCTTCTATGGGGCAGTGAAAGTAAACTCAGCCATCGTTCACCTCATGGGCTTCCTGGTCCTGTTGGCAGCTATTCAGCTTTGGAACCTGTGGCACCATAACCTCAGGCTGCAGGTCATCGGGAGGACACTGGGCAAAGCCTGGGACGAGGTGGTGGGCTTCTTGCTGGTCATCCTGATCCTGCTCACAGGCTGTGCCACTGCTGTAAGCCCTCATTCCCCAAAGCTGTGGCCTTGGAATCACATTGCTTTCCAAGAAAGCACCATATGGCAAACCATCAGTTCAAGGTGGCAATGAATTTTGGAAAAAAAGAGAGTATGAAAACTGGTTTTTAGTTGTAGTTCCACACTTCACCAGGAGTATGGCTTAAAATCAGACATCGGTCTCCTCTCCTCAGATTTACTCACAGCGTGATGTGAAGGCCAAATAAATCGATATGAACATGCTATTTAACTATAAAATAATTTTAAGGCATTGTGATTTTGAATGGCCACTAAGGCACTTCTATGATTTCCATCCCCTTTGGTCCTGTGTTGGCTCCTTATGAAGCCAGAAGGGAAAGAACTGACATCAGCCCTACTGCTGTCTGTCCTCTGATTAGTCTTTCTCCTTTTCAGTTTAACCTGCTGTTTGGTTGGAGCATCTCTGACTACCGAACTTTCTTCAGCTCAGCAGTGACTGTTGTTGGCCTCCTACTGGGACTCTCTCATCCAGAGGAGGTAAAAACCCCCATCCTGGCTTCCCTGCAGGATTCTATTTTGTCTACAGGGAAAGAATTGCTTACAATAGCCGCCCCTTCTGTGCCACTGCACACTGGAAAAGGAGAGTGTAGATCCTCTGCCTTCCCATTCTGTGGTGCTACCTATGCATTCAACGTTGGGCTATTACTTTCAGAGATAGGTCCCTTTTTCAAGCACCGAATTCCAATCTCTTCACTTCTTAATCTTATTGCCAGGACGCTGGGCCTGAATTTATGTTCTCGTCACCTAGCCAGATTAATATTTGCTGCTTCTTTCTCAGTAGCCCTTTGAAGTATATAATGAAAGTGCCTTCTAAAAAAATTAGGGAGGTACAATTCCAGAACAAGAGCCACAATATTTCTGTTCGTTATTCTCCCCCAAGAACTCCCAACACAAATCCCTATCCTATATAAAAAAAATAGGAAACCCAGATCAGGATTTGGAGCCCTAGCATATATAGATTTGATCAAGACAGAAAAACTATAATTTACATTAGTGAAATTGTAGAGATCTCCATGAAGTTTAACCTTCTGAAAATCTAGAACTCAAATGGGCAAGTTTACATAGTTTTTTTTTTTTTTTTTAAAGATTTTATTTACTTATTTGACAGACAAGTAGGCAGAGAGGCAGGCAGAGACAGAGAGAGGAGGAAGCAGGCTCCCCGCCAAGCAGAGAGCCCGATGTGGGGCTCGATCCCAGGACCCTGGGATCATGACCCGAGCCGAAGGCAGGGGCTTTAACCCACTGAGCCACCCGGGCGCCCCAAGTTTACATAGTTTCTTAACATAGTTCCTAATGTGGGAAGTTCTCACCTAAGATCCGAGAAAGACCTGTTATGGTTCTGGGTTCAACTGGGGAATGAAACCTTCACCCATGGAACACTTTATATACGAAGACACTTAAGGAAGTAATAAAACAATGAGCTTTTGCTAACACCTCCTTTTTGTCTTTAAAAAAAAAAAAAAGCCTTCTCTAATAATACAATGTGAAGGGAAAATGGAGTATACTTACTGGGAAAAGTTTTGTTATCACAAAGATGGTGAAAGTTGTCTGGTTGACCTAGAGTAGCTATAATTAAGCAGTATCTGGTCATACAGATGTCCATCACAGTGATATTTATTGTAAACATTCATCCTCTTAAGTTGTTGGGACTGTTTTTTATGTTGTTGTTGTTGATTTGTTTTTAATAGTACCCTAGTGGCAACAGTGAATAAGCCAATACCAAGGGAAAATAGGCATTTGTTAAAATGAACACATAAACTAAAATACTCTTACAGAAACCACCGTAGTCCCTGTATTTGAGAATGATCACGTCACGCTGAAAAGAATGGCAAAACTCAGTACTTACTTTTAAAATATAACACCCCCCCCAAAAAAAAGAAAAAAAAAGTTTTTTATGGTTAACTTCTTAAATTTTATTGGAATGCTCCTTTGTTTATAGAGGTCTTAGAATGGCAGAGACAGTTTTTATGATTTCTGATGTTATTCTTTCAATGTGCTTTTGCTACTCTTTCAAGCTTCCGTGTTTAGATATATTTTCCAGAGCTGTCAAAACTCACATGGGCTTTGAATCACTTATAATTCTACTGGGACTTACCTGTTTTCTGGTGAAAGCCCTTATGTCAATTATTTTTATACCCATTAAGTCTGTCATTCATATTCTTCTGTCCACTCAAAAGCATTTTCCTTTTTATTTGCTTCTCTCCCTACTGTCTACCAAATATTTTATGTGAATATATCCCAGACATTAGTATATAACTTCTACTTTAAAAATATAAGTTAAACTGTCAGTGTTTAAAATCAAAACATTTTATTGTCCCTTTCCAGGTTATTGCTTTAGACCCAATCCTGGGATCCTTTCTGATTCTCACCAGTGTGTTCCTGATGCTACTTGTGATCATTAACCTTTTTGTTTCGGTGATTCTCATGGCCTTTGGTAACGAAAGAAAATCCCTTAAGGTAGGAAGGTAACACTGACTTGGTAAGTGAAATATAAACTTGTCATGATTTTATCATTAGAAAAACTCAACTGCTGCTGCTCCTAAGATCATAGACTGACCTAATGCACAGAATCAGCTCAGTCCCTTCATGAATCTCCATAGCTTGGGCAACCATTTTAACAGAACGCCCAGTTTATAGGACATCCACTGTCTTATAAATAGCTGTTCCTCAACTGTGAAGTAGCAGAAACACTCCAGTGCCTGACAGTAGATCATTACAGGAACAGTATGTTTACCATTAATCCTAGTTTTTAAATCTTTTGGTCCATTTTCCCTCTCAACAATGGCATCAATTTTAATTCCCTCACTTTTCTCCTTTTGTGTAGGAGACAACTTTGAAAGAAGATGGACTGATAGAGATAGTGCTACAGAAACTCGCCAGTTTACTAGGAATCCAGCGGCCCCAGAACACGTGAGCAAACAGCCATGACAGCAGCGGGCAGGAACACTGCGGCTTTAAAAGATGGACTGTCTTGGGCGCCTGGGTGGCTCGGTCGGTTAAGTGTCTGCCTTGAGCTCAAGTCATGATCCCAGGGTCCTGGGATTGAGCCCGTCTGGCTCCCTGCAAAGTGGAGAGCTCACTTCTCCCTCTCCCTACCTTTGTAGGGTATAGTTCAGGAAATTACTGGTTTAATACATTGTTAATCTTGTAGTCACTGAGGAGTCAAACTCTCCTTGGCAGCAGGTTCTTGGGTTTACGGCCCGCCGTCAGGAAGGGGTTAACACCACCAGAGCGATACAGGGTAATCCAGCTCTGCGGCCAAAAAGCAAGAAACACTCACCACTACTGTTTTCAGCGTGGCTGTGGGAAATACGTAGGAGTCCGAGGTGAGCTCACTGCAGCTCATTAAAATCAAAGATACAAGTGTGAGGTTTGGCTAACGGGCAGCCCTGTCCCCGAGGACTAAACAAGCAAACTCAAAAATGTTCCCTGGGCTTAAATACAGAACTAGAAATGGACTCGCTGCTGCTTCAGACATACACATTACCCAAGGAACCAAAGGTAAGCTCTGGATTATGCCCAGCATGGGTCACTTACTTAAAATACTCTCCACTAAAATCCAAATTTGTACCTCCCCACTTGACCAAACAAGTGGAGAAAGCAGGGCACAGAATTTTTAACTTTATTATCAGCTACTGAGCTATGAGATACAAACCAGTCAAAAACATTAAAGTTGGCCGAAACAGGTGTGTACATGTACACTACACAGAAGCCAGCATCTTGTCTTCTGATCCCAGAGCCATCCCTCCGGGGAAGGGTGGCTGCAGCTAGGGGGTAAAGGAACACGTTAAGTTACAATAGTAAAGAGTCTCATCCACCTAGGAAAGTAGTCAACAACCACAGCCACATGTTTTATGGGCACCAAAAACTTATCCAAAATCAGTTTTTAAAGGTTCTCTTAATCGTAAAGTTTTCAAATGAAAACAGGAATCCCTCTTATCCTGTAGGCATTCCAGCTCACTACCCAAGAGATTTGAGTACTTCTATTAAGGCAACTGGAAGCCCACCTTAGCCTTGAATGGTGACTCTGCCTGGTATGTGACCTGTCCTTCGTTTGCCACTAAATGCAATCCAACAGAACATGCTATGGGGAAAAACAGGAATTTATGCAGTGCTGCCCTCTGGTAAAAGGGGAACACAGCACTCAAAGCAAAAGGCCACGGAGGGCTCCCTGAGAATCCAGTAGAACTAAGAGAAGCTTTCAACTTTCCAAATTAACTTTGCAACTGGATCCAGGTAGGACAGTGCCCGGTAGCAAGGAGTAGTGTCTATGCCAATGAGCGGACCCAGCTTCCGGGAACTATTACAGTGGCGTCCAGAGTCAGTCTCTCCCATTCATAGCACGCCTTTGCTTTGTTTGATTCTTGCTCACCACAAATCCCTCTGTGCAGAGGGGTTTGTTTCTAAGTCTAGAACTTCAGCACCGAGCTGAGAGACTTCATGAAATATTCTTCTCTGTGTCCAGCCATCTTTGGCAGCTCTCCTCATAATGCTTTCACCTTCTCACTCCCCTGTGGAGGGACACAGAAGCCAGAGTCTTCTCTGTGATGGGAGAAGGTGATGGGAGAAGCTGGGCTCACACTCACGGGAGCTGGACAAAACCAGTGGCCCAGAGTCCGATGCTCTGGCCTCATAGTCTCTAATCATTAGTCTCTTAGGAGCAGTAGAGAACTGGAAAGCAGCAGAATTTAGAGCAGGAAGAGAGCCCAGAGGAAGAATGTACTCAGTGATGGTTAAGAGATGAAAAAGAATTTCATGGAGATTGTTACAAGGAGAAACAGCTCAGTCTCAAAGCCTGCAGGTTGCCTGGTTTAAGAGACCTAGGTTTTCTTTTTCAACTCCTCAAATCTCCGGGACAGATCATCAAAGTCAATGTCCTCAGATGCTGAGGTGTTGGCACCAGCAGATGCAGTTGGTAGTGTGTCTGGCACAGATGGCAACTCCGGTAGTACAAAGTTGTCGTAGGTATCCATGGGTCGGGAAGGGGGCTTTGCAGAGGCTTCTGGCTTGGGCCCAGGACCTAATTAAATTAGGGTAAGCAGCACAGTGTTACAAACACCAGAGAAAAGTGGCTCAGATCCTTAAAGCCCACAATCCCCTTTGGCAGAAACAATGAAAATACAGGAGAAGACACTGGTTTTTAGAAAATGATTAATAGTTCTAAAGACCAATAAAAATTTCCAGGACAATACCTACATTTCCTTAATGGAGCTGAAGCCTGTTTTACTTTCCCATGGTGAGAAAAGATTAAAGGGAAATTCTAAGTGTGGTACCTGGGATTAGGTACACAGAGCATTCACTCAGATTCCCCTTTCGCAAAGATCTGCTACTAAAATTCTGTTGGAATGAGCCACTCTCTATGGCTTAGGGGGAAATTTTTTTTTAAAGATTTCATTTATTTATTTGACACAGACAGACAGTGAGAGGGAGAGGGAGAAGCAGGCTTCCCGCCAGGCAGGGAGCCCGATGTGGGGCTTGATCCTAGAACCCAGGAATCATGACCTGAGCTGAAGGCAGACTCTTAACGACTGAGCCACCCAGGTGCCCCATGGGGGAAAAATTTTTTATTAAAAATGTTTATGTCCTTACTGTTTCATGTAATAGGATCTGAACTACCAGTCTTCCATTTTGTATTTTACAAAATCATTCCCCCCCCCCCACCTACTGTACGTTTCCATTTGTGTCTAGAAAAGGCAAACCTCAACTAGTTTTAGAAAACAAGAATAGTGAGGTGCCTGAGTGGCTCAGTCAGTGGAGTATCTGACGCTTGGTTTTGGCTCTGGTCATGATCTCGGGGTCATGGGATTTAGCCCCATGTCAGGCCCCATGCTGAGAGAGGAGTCTGACTGAGATTCTTTCCCTCCCCCACCCTATGCACACACATGTTCTCTTTCTCTTTCTCTTTCTAAAGATAAAATCTTAAAAAAAGAAGGGGGGGGGTACCTGGGTGGCTCAGTTGTTAAGCGTCTGCCTTTGGCTCAGGTCATGATCCCAGGGTCCTGGGAATGAGCCCCACGTTGGACTTCCTGCTCAGCAGGAAGCCTGCTTCTCCCTCTCCCACCCTCCCACTTGTATTTCCTCTCTCACAAATAAAATCTTTAAAAAAAAGAAAGAAAAGAAAGAAAGAAAAGAATAGTGTTTGCCTCCAAAGCAGAGTGTGAACTGATGGAGTTGACTGGAAAGGAACATAAGGGAACTTTCTGGGGTGATGGAAATGTTCTACACCAGTTTTACTGAGATTATTATTTATATAAAATTAAAACTCATCAAAATATACCTCAATAAAACAACTATCTCCAATTTAAAAAGTATCCCCCTACCCCAACCCTAGTCTCCATAGTCCTGGTAATGTTTTATTTTTTTGAGTACACGACCACAGGAGCATGCTTGCTCTGTGAAAATTCACTGAACTATTCATTTATGGTTTTATCTACTGCCCCCTCTTTAATGATCAAGTTAAAAAATATGTTATGTATACCTAGATGGAAAGATAGCCAGCTGGACTGAATGATCAATCTCTTTTGGTATTTCTAGGTACAATGGAAACTGAAGTAGCAGGAATATGAAGAACTTGAAGTTGGAAGAAAAACTATAACATTAACAGAAACAAGGAACTTGGGAGAGACTCTGCACCCAAGAAAGATACTGTCTTTTTGGACAAGGGAAATCCTAAGTTCTATTTGAACCTACTACACACTGCAGAGGACAGGGCATGTGGGTAAAATGCCACAAACATGAACACTATTCTGAGGAATGAGCAGTAATGAGAAAACAGTAAAGAGTTCAGCACTGAGGGTTTCTGATTCACACTCACCAACAATCTGTGCAGAAGAGACATTCTTATCAGCATTAATGTCATCAACCTGAAATACAAAGATTGTTACTAGGGGAGAAAGCAATAGCATTACTGGACAAAGTACTCATACTGGTATTAGCCCCTGTGTTTTCCAAAAGCTAAGCTGCTCAGCAGAAGCAACAGAACCTGCTCCAAAGAAACTGCCCCTCCACCCCCTGTACTCCTTCCTTCTCTTCCAATCAGATTCCATGTTAAATTCTTAACCACCAAGCAGAGAAAAAGAAAATTCTTACCACACCATAACACCTCTCTTTGATACCTTCACCTTCTGGGCAGAGAGAAAGCACTAACCCACTGAACGCATCTCCAAGAACCAAGTCCTCAAATACTGAAGATCTTCTACCTCATTCCTAGAAACAGTTGTGGGCAATGCTTCAATGCATGCAAGACCGAAACATAAGAAAACCCAGGCCCGAGGGAAAACCAAAGGAAAGAAAACTAAACAAGTTCAGGAACAAGGGGATCTCGCAGCAAACGCTCTACCAATTTGTTTTCTCTGTAATGCATCAGATAGAAATGGGTCTCAAAAGGCACATAGTAGCTGAGGAAACAAGGCTGACAGAAAAGGAGCCCTCTAATTCTGAATCAAAGCTGTGCAATCACCAACAATTCAACTCAAGGCATGATTACCATATTTCTAACAAGTTTCATCTATAAGATGAAAATGTAAAATTAATGCTACAGGCTGAAATTTATTAACTGGACACTTCAGTTAAAAACAAATCTGGCCACCACTCCTTTACACAGTGCTGAATTTCTAAAACGGTATTTTACTTATTACGATAATCCAGCAACAAGACTATACCAGCTCAATACAATTCTCTGCCTCGTTAGTTAAAAAACAACAAAAAAAACCCCCCGAAGACTAGGTAAGTGCCCTACTAGAACTCTCTAAGAGATCAGCTCCTTCCTGATTCCTGGCTTCACTGCAAACAAAGCATTGCCACCAATGATGCCGCCACTGCCACCACCGCCGCCCCATTTCCAGGGTAATGTTAAAGCAACACAAAAATCCAAAGCAAGAGCAATGCCGGTAACTAGGAATTGATCAAAAGTTTGCCTTCCCTGTGGCCATTATTTTGCTCTCTCTTCATGGGATTCACTCTCCTGCCGCTTACAAAAGAGGCTCAAGCACTTACAGATTCATACGATGGGGGAGTTGCTGGTATCTGAGGTGGATGAATATTGGGAAAAGCCTGATAAGTCCCCACTGGCAATCCATTGAAATCCGACTGCAAGTGAAGAAAGGCGACATGAGACACAGCCCTATTTTGCGATTTCTGAGGTTTGTGTATGGTAAGGGAGAAATACCTACACATATTCAATGTGAATATTCAAGATATATCTTCAATATGTATCTTATTCAAAACCTCCAAAAGAGAAAAAAATGCCCAGGATTCCAGATTTTTAAAGATCTATAGCCAAAGACTAGTCTTCAAATTACTAATCAACTGCTTTGATGTCTACAAGGGAAGATTCTAATCAGACTTTCCTATTACTAGTAATGACCTTTACCTTCTTGTCTACACAGGAGGTTTTTCTACCTGGTAATAAGTAGTAGTCATTTTTGGAAAGAACTGCTAGTATGCCTATAACAGCTCCCAAA